GAGCGCCGCTGCGCTCCCAAGCGGCGCACTGTAGCAGTGCGCCACCGGGCCGGCCCCTTTGCTCTTCTTTTTAAATGTCCCTGATGGGCTGGCCCGTGGCTCACTTGGGAGAGTGTGGTGCTGATAACACCAAGGCCCCGGGTTCGGATCCTATATAGGGATGGCCGGGAATAAATAAATAAATAAATAAATAAATAAATAAATAAATAAATAAATAAATAAATAAATAAATAAATAAATAAATAAATAAATAAATAAATAAATAAATGCCCCTGATCAACGGAGCTCTAAGCCATTCCTCTAATCTTTTCCAACGTGCACTTGCCTAAAAGGACAGCCCAAAAACACCTCTTGCAATTAGTTCAAAGCACACTGGCTACTATGTAGGAACTTTTCACTGCGCTGAGGTTATCATTTTGCTTTCTCAAGGCCTGGACTAGTCTTCTCCGACAAGATCTGCGTGTCCAGGGGAGTCTAGAGTGTGATCACAATAGTTGGGTGCAACTATTACCTTCAAGGGATGTTTCCCCAAAATAAAGGAGTATTATGGAAGTTGATTGTGACCTATAACCTAACAACACCAGGAGCTCACCAAGGTGTAACTTTGTGAAACAGTATCACAGGCTTTTAAAGTATCAACTACTGAATTTCTTCCTAGTGAAGTCCTTTTAATAGTGAGACTTCAAGCTGGCTGGTTTGCTCAGAGTATAGCCAAGATCACAGGTTTAGATCCCCAGACCAGCCAGCCATCAAAAAAAAAAGTATTGGTCTCAAAAGCTAAATATCTAATTCCCTGAGAAACTTTTTCGATATTACAAATCACAGTAATTTGCCTATGACTTTCATACTGACCAGTTCAAACCTTTTTGTATAGATGAACCTGCGCTATAATTACTGCTAAACTATTTAGAGAACAGGTTTTTTTCTTCCCCAGTCACTAAAATGTGCAAAACACAAAAAACTAGCTTATCATCTAAAATAAAACCAAAAGCAAGTTAAAATTTTTCTACAAAACAAGGAGAATGACCCCAGTCCAAAAAAATCTTTATGTTCCTTTATTGGAGCAAGATTCCTGACCAGTATACAGTGATGTATTTACTAAACAGAGACCTGTGCAGAAATTACATACTATCCATCTAGACAGGTTTTTGTTACACTTCACCTATTGATGGAATAGTTCCATTTATAAAGTTTTATACATCAAAAAGCTTTTAATTTGACCAGACTGTCCATTAATCCACCTCTGAAAAAGTGGCATGTTACTATATTTTACAGCATTAAAAAGCTTATGCATTTAGGTAGCTTCTCTGCACAATGGCATTGAGCAGACAAGAGTCCATCATCCCACCCAGATTCACCAACAATTACGTTTAAGAAAGCTTTATGCTAGACAAAAAAAAGTACTCCTAACCACCAAGGTCTTAATCTGAAAGCCTACCTTCTTGGCTACATTTTATAGTGCCAATGAACACATGCCAGCAACTGTCCCATGTATAACTTGGCATTACAGCACCAGGTCTATTTGATGGTGGTGGCAGGCACTATTATTATATCCAAGTAAAGACCCATTTTAAAATTTGCCAATTTGAGATAAGTCAACGGAACAAGAATTTAGAACTCAGTTTTGAGCAATCTGGTATCCCAAACGATGTAAATATTCCTATGAAGACATTAATACATGATTCAGATCCCTTTACTCAATCCACATAATCCTGAGGTCATCCTGCAAAGTGCATATCAAAAAATACAAAGTTAGGGTGACAAAGTTTGATGATGACATTACACAAATCAACCTTCAAAGGTCATATTATCTATTCTGAGAGAAAAGCATCAAATCCTTTGTGTACACATTTAGTTTTATTGTAACAAAGCAACTTGTACACTTTTAACGTTTAAAACTGAGCATCATCTTTTCCTTTCCAGTGAAACAAAAAGAAAATTTAAAAATAAACAGAACAAAATTACAATAGAGAATGTCAATTCCAAATAAGATCCTACAGGTTCTGCTGATTCTCCCATTGAGTGGCAGGGCTCAAGTCATCATTA